TTGCCTACTTGTGCTCAACATTTAGATCTTTATTTTTGTGGTAGAAGCAATTTAGTTTTAAGTTTCGATATATATGAAGGTGTTATGTGCTTCTACCACATAGCTATAATCATCTGCTTCTACCACAAAAATAAATTGCTTCTACCACAAAAATAAATGGCCTACTTGTGAATATAGCTATGAAGGTGTTAAACACATATAGATAACTTACAAAATCTCCAGCGACGATAACTGATAAAACTGTTGCTTGCAAAGGAAGGCTTTTAACGATGGTAGAGTAAGCTTCAATTAGGGCTAACGTCACGCTCCATGGTGTCACTAAACCCATCACTGTAACTAAATAACTACTCCAACAACATTCATAAATCTCTTATATTTCAAATTTTTCTTAGTTTTAAAATGAAAAGATTTGATATTTTTTTTACCAGAAGGCAGTGTAAGCGTAGAAATCGTCATCATCGTTGAAGCACATGAACAGAAGTGAAGCAGAAGAAAACAGAGTTTGTCCAAGACGAAGAACAAAGCTTGAGCTGGTTCCAAACGACGCCGTTTTGACCATTTATCGCCTCTTCTTCCTCTTCATTGTCGCATGATTTGATCTTCCATTTTTGGGTTGTCTTAAAGATTCAAACTTTGATGGAGAAGAGAAGACAAAACTAAGAAACAGAACAAAGAGTCCTCTGTTTTTTCAGACAGGCGACTTGAAAAGACAAATGGTTTTGCTTAATCATGAATATGTCCTTATTTCTTAACCAGTAATCATCTTGCTGTTACAAGCAATTATCCAGATCTAGAAAATAATGATATCTTAATCCCTAATGATTAACATTTTTAATCACAATAATTGGCCAAAAGTGTTACCAAATGGACCTCCACATGTACTATGAACTGGAATCATAACATTTACAGACAAAGATTCTCTGTATAATGTATGGTTTTATTTCTCAAGTTGAGCATACCAGATTCCTTGAATCTTAACATCCTTAGGAGTTTTAGCACCTAAATCAGTATCCGAAGGCTGAACACTTTCGAAAACACCGATTACTTCACCGCTCTGTGGATTACTCTTTGTTACACTAAGTGTTATCTTACCAAGTGAAGCAGCTGTGTTCTTGTTGTTCTCTTTAGCTAGCTCCTCGTCGTCTCCTCTAGCGGGTAATGCAACCGCATTTTCGTAGCCCGTAGAGCCACCTCGGCCTTTAGGATCCAAGAAAGAAGAGCCTCTATAAGATGGTACCAAGAAATCTCCTCCAAAGCTCTCTGGTTTACCCGATGCCACGAGCTGCTTGATCGTGAACAAGAACGGTACTCGCTCCCCACCGGGGAGTTGTACTGTCACTGCAGCGTAGTCAATACCGTCTTTCTCGATAAACTTCACCGTTCCATTAGAAGCTACCTATTGTATTGAACCAGTACTTAAAGGCAAGATTTTGTTTGAATTTGATCAAATGTAAGGAATGTTTTGGCAGCGAGATTTACTTCGAAAGGGCCTTCGATTTCATCGAGCGTGTAGGTAAGCCGAGTCATAAGCTTTGTGTTTTGGAAAGCGGGCGTGGAGTTCTTGCTAACTCCTTCTGCTTTGACTGTGAATGAAGTTGGCTCTAAGCAGAATTTTTTGGCGTAGTATTTGCCTGGCTTTATGGCGAATGACTCTAAGCCACCTTCAATGGTTGGACATTGATTTGCGGTTCCTGTTCCTTTCACTTCCATGTAAGTCTTGCTCTGTATCTCATCGAAAGTTAGTCTCTTTGGCACTCCTTCTGCATTTGCTCCCTTATTCATACACCCAAAAAAAAGTTACATGAATCATCAAAAGTCCAATATTTATCAAATTATGAAACCTTACTTTAGCAATCAAGATCTTTTGATAGCCATCACAGGAATTACACATAAAGGTTATTTAGCATCAAAGACTGAAATATATGTATAGGAAGAAACCTAATTAAGCATATTGCTCAAATTCTTAAGCCCTAATTTAGCAATCACAAGAACTACTTTAAAGGATGAGTCTTTAGCATCAAAAAGTGTAATTTCTTGAACACAGAGAAACCATAATTTTCAGTTACATGTTTGGATGTTCATCAACTACTCTGCATATTGCTCAATTCTCTTAAAACTGATTATAGAAGCAACTAAGACTGTAAAAGGTTGAGTCTTTGCGGCGAGAAACCATACCGAGACGACAAGAGCGGAGGTTGCGAGTGCAAAACCGGCGATCTTGGTAGCTTCAAAGCATTTCAGAGTCAAGTTCTTGAGATTGTCGTGGAGTGAGCACGAGACGCGGCTCTTAGAAGAAGACCGGAGCTTTACGGAGACGTGAGGCGGTGGAGCCACCGTAGTGGTAACGGCGGATTGTAAAGAAGCGGCCATTAGTCCGCCGCAAAGTTGGTCCTTTTGATCAGACAAAAAGCTTTATCTCATGCGTCTCTGTTGTCAAGGAATTTATCAGGTTCTTCCATGCGCCACGTGGCTGTTAATTGTTGGTCAATAAAGATTCCGCATCTTCGTTGATTGTATAGTACTACAAGAGAAGAAAAAAAGAAGTAGTACAATACATGAGTGTGTGCTATTAAAACGTCATGCATTACACTTTTGGATACGAAGAACGGCACGTAGTTCAGTGCAAGGAGAAAATATTTCTCGAGTCTATGATGATGATATTATGTTACGAATCATAATTATTGAGGCGTTACTTTTTTAATCACTAGAACAATTTGAAATAATCTCTATAGAAAATCGGGTATTTTTTTTTTGTTCTTTAAACCATTTACTATGTTCCAAAAGAAAACACATCGTTTTTGTGTTTTGTTGATGGTGAGATTTGATCTCTGATTTTGATCCACATAATGAGTTTTCTATCCATTCTAAAATACTTGATTACATACTAAAATTATGTGCTCAAATATTGATCATTACTCATTAGTCAGATTTAGATGTTTATTTTAACACCAATGCTCCCATCGCTCCGCAAAATCTCTAGCAAGTGTGCTCTTTCGGATCTTAGTCTTTTGTTATAAATTAGTCTTAGAGTCGAGATTAGTTATATAGTAGTCTAAGATATTCAAGACTTCTTCAACACACCAACCGATATTCAAATTCATTATCTTACAAGTCACACATTTTTATATTAAAAAAAAAAATATTACAAGTCGTCACAATTGAAATTTCTTTTGTTTATTCAAGATTTTACTTAAACACAAATATTACTAAAGATGCATAAGCAATTCACACTTTAAAAATGAATGCAAGACACAAACTGCTGAATGTGTCTACCGGCCAAGGGATCGGCTTCGACTTAAAAGATGTGGAAAAATACGGTCCAAATCGGGTAAACGAGGAGAGCAACGATCCCGAGGGTATTGGAGATTCCATTCTTTTGAGTAAAAGCGTTTTTGAATCCACCAGAAGCTTTAATGTGTTCATGGAAAAGATAACATGCTATTCCAAGACATATCACTGCCCCAACCCAACTATCTCTTAGTGTACCAGCTATGAGACTTGGTGCAACCACCAAAAGAAGAATCAATGCAGCCGGAATTTCCAACCACTCTACAAGTTTAAGAAATAGAATTTTAAGATACAAGTTTGGTAAGACTATTGTTCTTTTAATTTAGTTCATATTCCACGTATTGGTAACATCTGGGCCGATTCCCTTGCAAAATAAGCTCGAATACAAGGTTATGTAAATCAGACATTTCCGTTTGGGTTGCCCGTTAGGGAAACAATCCAACCGGTCACACTTGATTTAATATATGGTCATTGTTGATTAAAAAAAAAAAAAAACCATTGAACTACCTGGAAACTCTTTAGGAAAGAAGAGTCTTATTGTAATCGAAATAAGCGCGATCCATTTTCCGAAATCTCCCCTGTGAAATTTTAAATCAAATATTGACTTATTAGTCTTGTTACATATGTTACAAGAACATTATTGTAAAAACTTGTTGTTTGATTATACCTAAAGAAGTTGAAGATAACGTAAGGAAGCGTGAAAAAGATGTATGGTACTAATAGAGTAGTCAAGATTTTGGTTCTCCAATTTGTCCGATCCAATACCAAGAGATAACTGTCAAAAACAAACAATAAACAGAATGATTACAATAATGATACAAAACAAAAACCATAGATGTTAAATGGTTTGGTCCTTTTTGGTTTACATGGCGGAGATCGAAGCTGCCCATTGAAGGAAAGTCGTGCCAAAACCTAAACCGCCGAGCATTCCTACGTCTTTAACGAGCTTCTTCGTGGCGGCGACAAACTCATTCAAATCGGAATTGATCATATTCTTCGTGGTTTCCTCTCCAGTCTTCATGGCCAAATACTCAACTCTTCCCATTTTGAAATTTCTTTTTGTTTTTGTAAATGTAAAACTCTCTCACACAATACAATCCAAGTTATAATAAGTTGTAACTTGTGACAATAAGCAGAGTATTTATAGCTTAATCACAAAACATCTTCGCTGTGATTCTTTGAAAATTTCAATAGGCATTACAAAAAAAAAGAGAAGTGATCTGTGTGTTAATTAAAATTAAATGATGCTAAATCATAGAGTAATATGTTTAGTTTTACATTTTGAAAAAAAGAAATGTTTTCTTATATATTTCATTGGTGACAACTGTCCTGATTGTCTGATATCTAGAGAGCTGCTCGCCACGTAGGCTTCGCTGGTGTACTGACGTATTGACACGTGGCTTAATCAATGATCTCTTTTTCATACACAGATGTCCAAATCCATTGAGAACATTTCTACCAATAATATTAAATCCCTTATTTTATTTCTACAAGTAATCCAAAATTTTAAAGATATTGAGGATATATACTCTTATTATACCTTTATATTATTAGTATAAAATAAATTAAATACCCTGAAAAGGAAAGCAAAAACCTAATCCAGTGATATATTCTTCACCAGATGATTATCAGATTTCGAAAGCACATTGAAATAAGCCAAGATTAGCAAGAATAGTGAGCTAAACAATACGAAAAATTCTCAACGATTAAAGTTTTAAAAGTATGGACTCAATTACAATACAAGAACAAGGAAAGGAAAATCTAGTCTTGGAGGATTCATGAAGAGAGTACTAAACGTTTTTTTTTCTCAGTTTCTTGTGTTAAAAACTCAGTAGTAATAGAGAGATTTTGTTGTATACCATTGTTTCTCCTTCAAGAAGAGTTACCATCTGGTTTGTTTGAAGAATCATGAGCTGGTTTCTTTGATGCACTTGATTCCACAGAGGTTGCATTCATCAAAACTCGCTTCACTCCTCTTCCGACAACACCGAGATTCGTAACA